TTTAATACCTTAACGGGGTGGGAAAGGGTACATATGGATATGATGGCCACGCGATAACACCACGTGTATAAGTGATTACCGGGTGTTGTGTGGGGTGATCCATATTATTTATAAACCTAGGACCCCCCTCTCTTTTACTTGTTTATTTCATTGTTTATTTCCAAATTTCAAATTGTTTTTCTCAAAATTCGGCTTCCTTCCGTTTCTTTTAATTTCATCAATTTGCAACCATTATGTGAAATCCACTCTTATTTGAAAGTCTTACTTTCTTGCGTGTTATTTGTTCTTAAAGTCACAACAATAGCTTGGCCGGGAACCACAATAGTGGAATCTGAGGGGTGCCTAACAACTTCCCCTTGGAATAATTTCAAGCCCTTACTCAATCTCTGGTTATCCAAACAAAAACCCTTCTTAGTGTCCTAATGCACTTAAATCATTAGGTGGCGACTCTTCAATTCCTTTAAACCCAATTCCCAAAAAGGGAACGAGTTGTCTTCCCAAATGTCATAAACCCGATTTTCGCGGAGGGAAAAGGGGGCGCGACAGTAGCTCGGTGCCTAAACTGTCAGTAGGTGAAGTATGAGTATCAGAGACCGGGCGGATTTCTTCAGAGGCTTGAGATTCCAAAGTGGAAATGGGAGCGTATCACCATGAATTTTGTAGTTGGGCTCCCACAGACTTTGAGGAAGTTTGATGCTATCTGGGTGATTGTGGATTCACTGACCAAGTCCATGCACTTATTCTTCAGAGCGGTTGGCTGAGATTTACATCCGCGAGATTGTTCTCTTTCACAGGGTGCCGGTGTCCATCATTTCAGATTGGGGTACGCAGTTTATATTGCAGTTTTGGAGAGCAGTACAGTAAGAGTTGGGCACCCAGGTTGAGTTGAGTACAACATTTAACCCTCAGACGGACGGACAGTCCGAGCGCACTATTCAGATATTGGAATATATGCTATTCACTTGTGTCATAGATTTCGGGGGTTCTTGGGATCAATTCATGCCGCTCACGGAGTTTGCCTACAACAGCAGATACCAATCGAGCATTCAAATGGCTCCGTATTAGGCTTTGTATTGGAGACGGTGTCGATCTCTGGTGGGTTGGTTTGAACCGGGAGAGGCTAGGCTATTGGGTACTGACTTGGTTCAGGATGCTTTAGGAAATGTTAAATTGATTCACGATCGGCTTCTCACGACACAGTCTAGACAAAAGAGTTACGCCGATAGGAGGGTTTGGGATGTTGCTTACTTGGTTGGGCAGAAGGTACTGCTCAAGTTTTCACCCATGAAGGGTGTTATGAGGTTTGTGAAGAAGGGCAAGTTGAGCCCTCGGTATATTGGGCCGTTCGAGGTGCTTCAGAGGATTGGAGAGGTGGCTTACAATCTTGCCTTTCCACCTAGTCTGTCGAGTGTGCATCCAGTATTTCATGTTTCTATGCTCCTAAAGTATGTCGGCGATCCGTCTCATGTTTTGGATTTCAACACGGTTCCGTTGGATGGTGATTTGACTTATGATGTGGAGCTGGTGGCCATTTTGGGTTGGTATGTTCGAAAGTTGAGGTCCAGGATATAGCTTTAGTGAAAGTGCAGTAAAGAGGCCAGCCAGTTGAGGAGGCTACTTGGAGACCGAGCGAGAGATGCGGAGCAGATATCCATGCCTATTGGAGGCTCTAGGTACGTTTCTAGACCCATTTGAGGATGAATGTTTATTTAAGAGGGGGAGGATGAAACGACCCGACTGGTCGTTTTGAGAGTTGTAGCCCCGTTCCCCTATTTACTGCTTATTTTACGCTTCACAATTGTTATATGACTTTTCGGGGTAGTTGGTTCGGGTCCGGAGAGGTTACGAAATGAATTGAGACACTTAGTCTCAAGGTTGGAAACATAAGTTGAAAAGGATGACCGGATATTGACTTATGTGTAAACTACTCCGGAATGGAATTTTGGTGGCTCCGCTGGGTGATTCGGAGTTAGGATTATGTTCGGATTGTGATTCGGAGGTCTGTAGCGGAATTTGGCTTAAAAATGGAAAAGTTGGAAATTTAGAAGTTTGGCTGAGAGTAAACTTTGTGGTTACCGAGCTCGGATTGGAGTTTCGGGAATTGGAGTAGGTTCGTGGTGTCATTTGTGACTTGTGTGCAAAATTTGGGGTCAATCGGATGTGATTTGATAGGTTTCGACATCGAATGTAGAAGTTAGAAGTTCAAAGTTTACTAGGCTTGAATCGATGCGCGATTCGTGGTTTTAGCGTTGTTTGATGTGATTTGAAGGCTCGACTAAGTTCGTATCGTGTTTTAGGACTTGTTGATATATTTGGTTGAGGTCCAGGGGGCCTCGGGTGAGTTTTGGATGGTTAACGGATCAATTTTGAACTTGGTGTTATAGCTGAAGACTTTCTTGTGCACTGATCTGGTTTCCTTATACGCGATCGAGTGGAAAGGTCCACGATCACGTAGGCTAATTGGAGAAGCTGTGGTATTTTGTCTATGCGATCGCCAATTCTGGCATGTAATCACGTAGGCTGGGGAATCAGTGCATCGGCAACGCGTGGGCTAGGCCGCGTTCGCGAAGAGGAGGTGAGGCAGTTGGGGTTCACGCGCGTTGTTATATGCAAATGCGTGGGCCATCCGCGATTGCGTAGGCCTGGGTAGTCTACGCTTCGCGCTCGCATGTGTTTTTGTGCTGTCGCGTAGAGGAGTTTTTGTGGGCAGTGGAGTTTGTGCTTCGCGTTCGCGAAGAAGGGATATCTAGGCATACTTAAATATTTCAAAACGAGGGTTTGAACTCATTTTCACTATTTGATTTCGGGAGCTCAGTGGGAGGCCTTCTTGGAGAGTTTTTCAAGTGGATGATTCGGGTAAGTGATTCTTACTTAGTTTTGGTTAAATTTCATATTTATGTCTTTGATGTCATCATTTAATTAGTGGCTTGGGGTGGAAATGGAGGAAAGTTCTTAGGCCGAATTTTGAGGATTTGATCGAGGTTTTGGTATCGAATTTGAGTAATTTTGGTATAGTTGGACTCGTGGTTAAATGGCGTTCTAATTTTGTGACTTTTACCGGATTTCGAGACGTGGACTCGGGGGGGGGGGGTGACTTTTGAGTTGACTTTTTGACTTTCGATTAAAAACTCAACATTTTATATGGTATTGATTTCTATAGATTGAGTTGATCTTATCGAAAATTTATGGCTAGATTCGAGGCTTTTAGAGGTCGGTTTGCGAGGAAGGGCGTGTTTGAGTAGAGATTTGCGCGATTTGAGGTAAGTAACACTTCTAAACTTAGTTCTAAGGGTATGAAATCCCTGAATTACGTGTTATATGATTGGTACGGAGGTAACACACATGCTAGGCGACGGGCGTGTGGGCGTGTGCCATAAAAATTGTGACTTAATTATTTCAATGGAGTTGCATAATTAAATAATCATGTCAATACCCACCTGTCCTCCACATGTTAGAGAAATTGAGGCTCATGTTAAAGCATGCTTAGGCTATATGCCGATATTTTTGGGACCCATAGAGGTCGTACTACTGTGAATTACTTGTTTAAATTTACAATTGTGAAATCAGTCACATCAATCATTTGAATATCATATCCCAGTCTCTATTGCCATCCATTGATACAACATATCATCTTGACGGGCTGATTTCATTACATCGTGAGCCTGAGAGACTAGAGAGATTAATGATTGAGTGAGACCGAGGGCCTGATTGTGAGTGATAATTAAGGGATCGGACTGCACGCCGCAACATGTTTTTATTTATTTTTGCCAGGATTTAGCTTATTATAGTGTTTGGGCTGAAGGAGCCCCTCCGGAGTCTGTACCCCCATAGTGAGCGCAGTGGATATTATATGTAGGATGGAGTTCTCTAGGCATGGAGTTGCCCTATACTTTTATATTTGGGATGGAGTTTCCTGGGCTTGGAGTTGCCCTGTACTTTTATATTTGGGATGGAGTTCCCCGGGCTAGATTGGCCCTATACAGTACTGAGTGACTGACGGTCAGTCGCTATTTATATTGAGGGATGGATCTTCCCTGGGCTGGATTTGCCCCGTACAGTACTGAGTTATTGAGTACTCTCAGAGTGTGAGTACGCGAGGTTTCTATTGTAGTGTACCACATACAACATGTAAGTGGCATGTAGATATAGAAATGTCATATCTCCCATATCATTCAGAGTTGATCTATTTTACTTGTATTGAGTTTTTATTTGTTGAACTTAAAAACATGCCTACATTTCTGTACTGTTACTTCTATATTGAACTATACTTACTGAGCTCGTCACTAATTTCAGTCCGGAGATTAGATTTGTTACTTATTGAGTTGGTTATATTCACGCTACACCCTGCACCTCGTGTGCAGATCCAGGTGCTTCCAGTCACGGCGGTTGCTGATTTGCAGAGACCAGACCTTCGGTGATCATCGAGGCAGCTGCTTGGCATCCGCAGACCTTCACTCTCCTCCCTTATCTTGCAGTTTATTTTTCAGTTTTACTTTCCAGACAGTGTTCCAGACTATGTTTCCATGTAGATGCTCATGTACTCAGTGACTTCCCGGTTTTGGCGAGAGTTTATGTACTGAGTTATGATTTCCTATCCTATTTTAAGAGATTTCTCCTTTATTTAAACTATTTTGGTATTTTTTTTCAAAGATCCAAAGTGTTAGCAAATGTTGAGAAATGTCAGCTTGCCTAGTACTATGATAGGCACCATCACGACGGGTTGGTTTTGCGTCGTGACAACTAAATATAATTACTGAAATTATCTTTCAAAAATCAAACCATCTTTCAAAAATCAAACCTTCTCATATGCAAATGCAGAATAAATTTATTATTATATAAAAGCTAGAGTTTCGACCTATGTGTTTCTTGGTATTAAAATGCAAAATAAGGGTAACATAGACATTCACTTATGCGAGGTTACCTGTCTTCTAATTTGAACCGCCACGTTTGCCATATGGTATACCTTCTCGAAAATTCTTTTGAACTTGCTAAACCTTGGACTAAACGCCAATTTTCTCTTCTTGCAGAGTCTCTCTGCTTCTCCCATTAGATCCAATCGCATTAGATTCCATGCCCCATTATGGCATGGTGCTTTGTCGGATTTTTTCTGCAATTTTTACTAGGTAATTGCTTTAGTTTTGTTTTCTTTTCCTCCTTTTTTGGGTTGCAATGTTCCTGATTCCTCTATAGATATGTGTCATTGCCTTCAATTTATTTGTAGTTGTTGTGTGTGGTTTTTCTTTCATCCCCTCCTTAGATCTTAATATCAGGAGAAGGAAAATTAGCTCTGTCACGCATTTAGTTTAATTTGCAGGTAACGAATTACTCATGCTTTTAGTATTTGCAGTAAGCACGATGTTGTGGGCACATAAATACTCCTCCTATATTGAAGCTTCAATTTTGTGCAAGGTAACATTTTGTAGTCTTAAATTTATGTAGATAATGGGTATGTTAAGGACTTCAGGAATTTTAATGCCACCAAAAGGGTTGCATATGTTGATCTCTCTCGATGCTTTTTTTTTCATTTTACTTTGAAATTCTATTAAGTCTAGAGGACTTTGAATATGATATAGAGAGGAGATGACGTTTTATCTCATACTTGGTTAAGTAACTCCCTTTGTATTGTTACAAACAAAATTGGAACAAATAGAATCAATGAACATACAACTAAAGATTAGTTAACCCTTGAGTCCATGTATGTCTGTACTCGTCAATACTGGCCTCTTTCTTTTTTCTCATTTTAGTGAGTTATTGGTTATGTAAGGCAATACCTCTCATAACCTACTATTTTATACTCTTTTTTGAAGAACACAGTAGTACTCCGTAAAGTAGCGATGCAAATAGTAGTACTTTTACTGCGTCACTAACAAAGTGATAAGATCTTTAAGCCAAACAAAATTAGGGAAAGAAAGAGGATAAGAGAAGCTAATCAACATGTTAACAATAGCTATCTCCTAATCATGTGCTTCATCTAGAATCTATGTGCTCGAGGTAGTGTGTCCTTCCACAAGTTTCTCTTGATCAAATGCATCTATATGTTGTCCATCTAGGGTTCAAATAATTCCCCATTCAATTAACTATTAAAGTAAATTTCTTTATGTTTTTCTGCTATTTGTCTATGTTAAGATCCTCATTCGATGAAAGAAGCTCATGATAAGGATGCCAAATCCATGATCATATGGAAATGGCCGAGAAACAAGCACTGTTGTTGCAATGGTGCCTCAAATTTTGACAGGAAACAAGTGATCGTCATCTTGCAAACACAAACCATGTCAACAAGATCTTAAATGCATGGTCAAGTTTTACCCCTTATTAGAGTTCTTGGCAAGTGAAAAGATGTGGTTCATCCTTTTTTATATTTTTTTAAAAGGGTAAGCCGCAAAGCTGTATTGCTCATTTATGTTTCTTTGTGTATTTTTTTAATAAAAGTAAGGTAATATTTACGTTTATTGGTGTATTATGTACCTACATCTATTCTAATTGTCTTGAATCAATATTTTAAAAGTTCTTAGTGCAACTCTTTTCGTAATAACTAAACGATAAAACTGAGAAACCTATTACTGTTGCTCTCATGAGCTAGGACTTGAAAGTAAAATCTCTAGATGAATATTTGAATGTGAACTAGGGCTGGAAAGTTCTTAAATTCAGCTCTATTTGTCAAGAACGACAATACAACATGATTGTTGCTATTGTGGAACTTGGACATACTTATAGTTTAATCTCTTCAAGGCTCCTTTTGAATTAGTTTTGTCAGGTCAACCCAAAAGTTGGCTCTCTCAGTTATTCACTATTTTCTTTTGGCTCTCGTCACATGATACGACCCTTCGATCTTTATCCTTAAATAACTTTGCCCTATCTCTATATGATTTCTTAGTAATTATAGAAGTTGACCTGCATTCAACTTTAAATTAAAAAACATATGGCTTAATCTATTAACCGTGGAATCAGAGCAACCAGCAGGTTATATCGAGATAATGTCACCTATTCCCTTCTACAATGGTTCTAGAGCAACCAGCAGGTTCCCAAAATTTAGCTTAATGTATTAACTGCGGAATCAGATTCTGGATGTAATATGCTTAATGGCAGCCAGGTTATATATGAAACTGCATATGATTTTGCTAGACAATATGGAGGATTTGTGTGTCATCTTCTGGAGAAGACTTGGACTTTAACAAATATGAGCAGTCTTGGCAATGTGATTATTTTTTTCTTTAGGAGGGTTTTATCTAACGAAGAGTGGAGAGGCTGGTGCACTTCCATGTGCAACTGCAGCCTTACCTTTGACATCGTGCGCCCAAGCACAGAGAAATAGAGCATTGGATTGTGATTCTACTGCAGACTTGGAATAATGAGCGTATATGATTGTGGAAAGCAATTTATTAGATTAATCTAGCAGATGACCTGGTCAGCATCAACGTCTCTTTTGCACATTTGCAGCACTCTATAAGCTGTAGCTCAGAGAATATTGTGGAAATGTCTTCATTCGTTTTCTGATGCAAGTTACAATTTTTATTTTTCAGTTTCTAAAAGTACCTTACTGTAGGCAATGTGTTTCCAAGTTGGTTCTGGGAACTTTTGTAGCAGGAAAGGTTGGAGTGTGCACATCATTGTGATGCTTCAAATTAATTAAGACTTCAGTCCGCAAGTTTCATTAAAGAATTGTATTGTGATTTATTGTGGCATATGGTAGTAGTTCACCTAGGCACTTGCATTTATACCCGCTTTTTGTGTCACGTTTTAACTTGTGCCGCTTTGCAAAAAAAATTGCAAGCTTACCCGCTTTTTTGCATAACTTCAGCATACGGGGCTGAAGTAGCATAGTCAATCACGCAAAACTTCAGCATTCTAGTAGACGGGCCTGAAGTAGCAAGTGTGCTGAAGTTTTTTGTTTTGTAACTGGCGAGAGCTGAAGTTTTTTTTTTTTTTTTGTAACTGGCGAACTTCAGCTCTAGAGCTGAAGTTTTTGTTTTTGTAACTGGCGATCGAACTTCAGACTGGCGAGAGCTGAAGTTTTTTTTTTTGTAACTGGAGAACTTCAGTTCTAGAGCTAAAGTTTTTGTTTTGTAACGGTCGAACTTCAGCTCTAGAGCTGAAGAGCTAAAATTTTTGTTTTGTAACTCGCGAACTTTAGTTCTAGAGCTGAAGTTTTTGTTTTTGTAACTGGCGATCGAACTTCAGCTCTAAAGCTGAAGTCCCCACATTCAATTTTGTCTTTGTCTCAAACGCGTCAAACAAGCATAAACCATATGTTCATTCTCTCTCTCTTCATTTTCTTCACTCTTCAACCAAACTCCAATTCATTGTCAGTTGAGTTCGATCAAAAATCCATTATCCTTAATTCAAATTTTATATATTATAGTATTATATCTACAAAATTACAAACAACTCACAGCCTTAAAATCCTGAACCGTACCTTTGCTTCTAAACACTAACAAAAGAGGTGCAGTTGAAGTGGAGTGTGTTGGCAACTCAAAAATGGCAGAAAACGAAGGAGGAGAAGGAGGAGGAGAAATGGGCTGAAGTTATTTAAAAAGTGGGTGCAAGTTAAAAGTTTTATAAAAAATGGGTATAGGTTAAATGGGGGCGACCAAATAGGGCGCCCCGTGCAAGTTTTACTATTTCACCTGATGTTGGGTCCGTGCTTTAGCACGGGCTAACTATGCCTAGTAATTACAATAAAAGCAAAGATTGTCTATTTTCTACACAATGAGACAATTTTCTTTCAACATCTTATATTCTTTTACGATTTATTAGTTACATAGCAGTAACTACCCACAAAATACAAAGAAAAAAGGAATCAAATGGATATATGGTTGGGCATATATCGGGTAAAACCGATAACCCGAACCGTTATTTACTTATTAGGTTATCGGTATTGGGTTATTGGGTTAACGGTTCGGTAACGGGTAAAAAAAATTATTGGATTATTGGTTCGGGCTCGGTTTAGCAATTCTGTTATTGGGTAAACCGATAACCCAATAAAGGTTTACTAATTTACTAGTTTACCCTTAAGTATATACATACTAGGGTTTCATATACATGGTTCAATTTCTCTTTCTGCCTCACTCCCTGTCACCCTCACCCTCGGTCCTCAGTCATCACTCCTCACCAGTTCTCCGCCAATCCTCCACCGGCCACACGACTCACGCCCTCACCAGTTCTCCGCCTCACGGTTCACGCCCCCATGGCTGAGCCCGTCAAGACTCAGTTTTCTATTATCTTTTTTCGGCAGAGCATTGCACTAAGGTCAGTGTTTCATATCCCATTTCTGAATTTGTCTTAGTTTGCTATCTTAGACTGATTTAGGCTTCCCTTAGAAATCAATTTTTGCATATTTACTTGAATGATTTTCTAAATCTGTAGTTATATGGGTATCCAATTTCTCCTTTTTCGTCTATCAAATGTGAGTAGCAAGAAACTGAAGCTTCTCTTTTCTGTACCTTTTCTGGTATTGCTCTTGACTGCCTTTTTTAGGACTACTATCTACTGTAAATACTTAAAGAGAGTAGGAATCAATACATGGATTTTTTAAGCCCCTTTTAATTTTTAATAAATTGAATGTATAAGGAACAAACACATAAATAAAGTTAAGATCCATTTCATTCACAAGTTCAGTGGATTAAGTTATAGAATAGACAAAATTATGAAGGGGAAGGGGTGTAGACGTGTAGTTGTACTGCTGATATTTTCATTCAGTTAGTTAATAAAAACAAACTACTACTAAGTTGTCAGCTGCTTCATCTGTGATGTTGTGTTTGGAGATGTGGCACTTTCAGATTTTGGTTTTAGTTGCTGGTTTGATACCAAATCCTGAAGTGGCATTGGATTCTCTAGCTGTTTGGTGAGTGGGATATCTTGTTGTAAATTAGTTACCTCTGCATTGTGTTCCATTTGGGTTAATGTGTAGTTGATGATCATAGAATTTGCTAATACTCGATATATTATTGTCACAACTTTGCTTTTCTGTTTAGTGTTTATAGTGTTTATATCTGATTTCTCATGTATGTAGGATATACACATAGTACGTACCCACTGCTATCTTTATCAAAATACTGAAATGCAGTAGATAGATTTTCGTCTCTTTCTAGCCTGTGCTTATGCATGGTGGCGGTGATGAATTGATTCAGTGTAGTCAATTGAGCCATTTCCATCCACATCGGCCTGAAGTTTACAAGACATGAGATATCATAATTGTGAAGAAAAGAAATGGTTAATATTGTAACATTTAGGAATTGTTCTGCCTTACAGCTTCCATCAATTGCTTGACTTCAGCCCTGTGAGCTTTCGCAAAGGCCATGGTAATATATATATATCAGCACTCTTAATTTTAGTTTTACCTTATCGAGTAAACCGATAACCGAACCGATAATGATCAATAACCGATTAACCGATAACCAATATTTTATCGATTTGCTTATCGGTTTATCATATTTATAAACCGATAACCGATAGGCAAAACCGATAATATTCATAATCGAACCGAACCGACCGATACCCACCCCTAAATGGATATGTTAGGAGTAACATTCATTTTCTAACTTTTCTAACTTCCTATTGAATCTTGGACATAACCTTTTTCCTTCCTTTTTCCCGTCTATTATTTTGGAGTCAAATGGTTTTGTGGTCTATTAAAAACTTGTTTTTAGTTTTATAACTTTATGTTTTTTTTTGCACGTGAAAAATTTACTTTTATATATAAGAGATTAAAAAAGATATTTTCTTAAATTCAATATTGTAAAAAGCCATGAAGACCTATTCCTTTTTATTATTTTGGAGCATATAATTATTTGATAAGACAAACAATTAGGCACACAACAAACAAGAAATTTCCAAGATATCATTCATGCTTTTAATTACGCGGTTGATATACATTCCTTCCACTGCCCAAAATAAAAGAAAAAGGAATAAAAAATAAAATCTTAACTTGATTAAATGACAACATAATCCCATGCATGATAATATATACACATAATTAAATCAAGAGGCAAGGATATATTTAAAATCACAAGTGGGATTTTGTAGAAAATAAAATGATAATCGAAGGAAAGCGGAAGAAAGAGGAGACTCTTTTGGTTTATTCAAAGCAAAATCCAATTCAAGTTCTAATCATATTCCAGCATAGGAGAAACATAATTGAATTTCAACCACTTCTAATAAGTTATAAGACAACTTAATTTCTCCAAGAGACTTGCATGCTCCTAATGGTATTCCTCTAACTTCTATCAGCATTATAATTTCAAAATTCTGATTCTGTTTAGCTGAATGATTAAATATCTTGTGCTAGTCTAGAAGCGTCCGGTGGTTTACTCAATTAAAAAAAAAAAAAAAGAGTAAAAAATAATATGGATAAAGAAATATATAGCATCAAACAGCTAGAAATAAATAAAATTTGAGATTACCCCCAAAGGAGAGACATAGTTCATATTTTCTTTTTCACATACAATACA